GAACAAGCTACTATCACGTTACTTCAATCCACCCTAATGGCTACTGCTAAGCAACAATCCATGTCATATTCAGACATCAAAGCTAGCAACACTGATTATAGCTTAGTAGCTCTCTGACCAGTCCCTCGACCAATTACCTTCACAATTTTACAACGATATTTATTGAATGGTTACTTTTATGATACATCTAGGCAGATACAGATTGTTATCATATATTCTCTTCAACTCAGGCCACGTATGCTATATTAACAACATGATAATGGCAAAAATCAATAACCCAAATGAGGACAACAGAGGGTGCTGCATCTTGTCATGTGACATTCAATGTGTTCTAAACAAAAAGGCATCGCAGGCTGTTTGTTTGAAGATGACAGTTTCAGAAACAAGCCAACATGAACTTATTTGAAACTCTTTCTGAATTGCAACAGAATAAGAAATTAAGAGAGAGAACAGAGAATTTTACAAGAGCACTCTGAGAATTGATCAACCTATGGTTCTCCACCAAGCTCCACGCGTAGGTTGTCATATGGATAAACTTTGGGTGTCTGGTAGACAAAATAACAGAAACATAATCAATCAGCATGAGCAGTATCAAGCAAGTTACAGCATCTATTCAATATAAGCAACATAGGTGGATCAACCACAGTATATTTAATTGTGCAATTAATACTTGTTTCCTAAGTTCTGCCGGTTTAATCAGAGTTGATACAAGTTGAGGTGCTTATCCCAGAGACCCTATTTTTTTATCAGTTCACACCCCCACTTTTATAAATTTCCTGATGGACAGGATCGAACATCAAATTGAGTTATCTAGACCCGGCCATATGGCAACATTGAAGGGCTCTTTTGATCTCTCCTATAAAGCAATGAAAGAGAACCTAGCCCCAGGTCATCTGACCCATGCATTCATCTTGCACTCCGCATGAATTTAGGATAATTTCCATTGATAGCCCCACTTCTTTTGAAATCAAAACTAATTTTATTAGGGAATCGTAACTGTCAAATTGAGAAATAACAGAATGTTGCCTCCTGAATAGAGTGACAGCATTTAGTTAAAAGTAGCATAAGCCTTTCTCAGGGAAAGTATGGAGATGATTTTATGCACCATTACAAAACAGTGAATATTGAAAAACAAATGCTATGCTTTCAACAACTAATTTTAACAGCATAATTGTTGGAAGTGTGTTATAAGTTATAACAGGCAGTAGAGAAAATGGATCGACCTAATACTACACCCTGTGAAGTAACATATGGAGGTAAGAGACCTCCAGCAGACAACCAAGCCGCACAAGCTAGGCAAGCTCCCTTTTTTTTTCTTTTGACACTATTACGACATACAAATGCATCTTCCATGCAGGCATATAAATAAGCAAAATCTTATAGTTAGTCTGCCAAATGGCTAGAATTTCAACATACACATACACCAGAAACTATTTATTACTTTAGTTTTCATCGTCTCTTCTGCTCTGTAGTTAATAAGATAAACAATCTAGTTCCTTATTGAACCAAAACATCCTCCACCGCAAATAGGATACTTATAAATTCCAATCACTGATCATGTAATCTCTTGTCATCAGCCATTTGCGCATAGCATTCAAATTTTCAAATCCTATATGATACAAATCTTGAGAGATTTATTCACTTTGTCGTTGAAAATTGATCAAATGTTAAAATTTGGTTTACTAAGCTCAGTATTGCAAGCACCACTAGCAATCAAAATAACAATGATCATATAATTCATCATAAGACAGCAAATTTAGTCCGTAAACGCAATGCCCTAATTAACGCTTCAAATTAGAGCTTTGTACTTACAAACGGAACTTTAGAAGCTTTATCATTCCACACAGCAAGTAATCCTAGGGATGCAAAGAAGCTCAAACCCCCACACATCCAAGCCAACGCCTCATACTACAAACGAACATATAATTTCCATGAATAAGCACGAATTCCAGAACAATCATCACAAAATAGAGCTCAAAAACGAAGATTTTGTGCTTTTTTCATTTTTACCTTACCAACAGTGTCGGCAATTCGATCTATGCAGGGTTCCGGAAATGAAGTTCCGTTGTCCCAAACTAGCTCGTCATTCACCGGAAGCTGAAAAGGAAATTGAAAAGGTGCTAAATGTTGCTAGGGTTTCAATAAATTGTTTCCAGCTCTTTCGAGAAACAAAGAAATTATTGTGTGATTGGAGTTGGACTCACCGGTTTATCAGGGACGATGTGCTTGCCGACGGGAAGGCCCATGCCGGAGCGGAGGGGAAGAGAGGAAGCCACGGAGCGGGAAACAACTCCATTTCCTCCCATGATCCGTGATGCGACGCTGCTCAATCTGCCTGCCATTTTTCCCTCTCACTAAACTGGAAGCCGGAACGCAACCGTGACGATTTATTCTCTGGTGCCAGTCGTCGTGCGAATGTATACGATGCCGTTTCTGTTATAATTATGGACTTATGGGCCTACTTCACAATATTATTATGGCCTTAATATGGGTTGCGAATGCAGAGAGCGCAATCAACCAAGAAATCTAATTCTAACATTTTGAGTTAGACTACTTAAATCCAAATCGATTAATAACTTTTCTATGTTTTCCCTCGTACCAAACAAACTATAAGAGTATGAGATAAGATACGTAATTCCTTCACGTGAAGAACTTACACCACAATTAGGAAACAATTTTTGAAGAGACAAAAGCTTCCAACAGTAAGCTTGCAAAGCTGTATCTTTCTAGTTTCTCCACCCTGAAAAGGGCTAAAACAGAAAGTGATAATCATGTCGTTAAAAATGATCAAAAGCGATTTAAACATCGTCGACACTCTCTATCTCTTAATGCACTGAATGCACCCTTAAGATCATTAGAGAAAAAATTAGTTTCGGAAGTATAACATCTAAAGATGAGTTTTAAGCAATAATGTGATTGTGTTATTATTATTGTTATTATTATTATTTATCTTGATTGTGAAATTATTCAATCCTTGCTAGTTACCTCCTGTCTATAAAACCGCTGACACTTGAATCAATGCGATCTAAGCAAATTAGTTTTTTTCTCCCTAAGCAATGGCTCCAAAAGCTTTAGCATCAGGAGCGCTTCTTCTCTCCCTCAACCTCTTTTTCACCTTGGTCAGACTTAGCGGTTAGCACAGCCAACACAGCCACTTGTCCTCACGATACCCTGAAACTGGGTGTCTGCCAACTTGCTGGGCAGTTTGTTGAGTGTTGTCATTGGCATCCTGCCAGTGACCCCATGCTGCAGCCTCATTCAGGGCTTGGTAGATCTTGAAGCTGCTGTTTGGCTTTGCACTGCCATCAAATCAAAGCCAATACCTTGGGCATTAACAATGACATACCTCTTTCCTCCTGTCTGCTGCTCAATTACTGTGGAGAGAACGTCCCCTCTGGCTTCCACTGCGCATGAATCCATTCCCACTTCTCTTTGTTTATTAGCAGTTCTTATTATTGTCCAGTCCTAAGTCCTCCACGCACATTCGATCTTTTAATACTGTGTTTAGCATTCTGGAAGGTTTTTTTGCTCATGCCATAAACCGCCGTTAATAACTAATTTGGTGCCAGTGTGCCACGCATCATATTTTGTTGCTCAAAAATATAACGTGTAATATAATCATATGCATCTTTTATGAAAGTAAATGCATTTTATTATTGTTTTTTTGAACAATGATGATCTTAACTTTAAAATATAAATAATACTAGCTAACAATTAATGAGCAAAAGCCAAATATATGATTAATTAAACCAAAACCCAATTAAGAGAATTGGGATTCTCTTCTTATCCTAATACAAGTCAAAATGTAACTTGTTCTTTTAAATATGCCAATAAGGAAGAAAGTACTAGTAATAGCACATAGAATCAAGGAAGAACAATAGAGTAAAATATTCTTGATTAGAGACCCAACTGGCTCTGCATCTCAATAAGGGTCTTAGCAGAGTCTTTAAGCCGCTGTGCCTCCTCGTCGGTGAGATGAATGTTGGTGACACCCAAGATTCCGCTCCTACCAAGCTGTGCAGGCAAACTGAAGAACACATCACCTCCATCAATGCCGTAGAACCCCTTAGCGAGGACTGAAACAGGGTGGATTTTCCTCTGGTCTCTGAGAATGGATCTTGCTAAATTGGCAACAGAGTACCCAATTGCCCAAGAAGTGTAGCCCTTAAGACTAATCACTTCATATGCACCATTAACAACATCTTTGTGAATGTTCTCTAAGGTCTCCTTCTCGTAGCTGATTTGCTGCTTCTCCAGGAAGCTCAATACCGGCACCCCACCCACGCTTATGCTAGACCATAAGGCCACTGAACTGTCACCGTGCTCACCAACAATATAAGCCTGCAAATAATTACCACTACTACATTAAGAAACAGGGTTTGCATAAAAATCAATGTTATGAAAATCAAATTATCATTAATCTATTACATTTAACTACTTTGCATCACCAGAGCTTAGCTGATTCGGTACCCTCTAACTCAAAAATCTTGTTCTCAAGTTGGCATCACAGGGAAATGAAAGACTCCCCCACAGTCTTGACTCGTGAGAACTATGTACTTTGATCACATGAATAAGGTATTAAGGAACAGAGTCATACTAATGTATGGATCTTCTGAAAAACTTTTTAATATTCTAAACGAAATACGTATAGACAAAACATAAAATAAAAATTGGAATTCGAACACATTAATCACCTGCACATCTTGAGCGTTAACGTCCAAGTGATCGGCGATCAGGAACCGAAACCTTGACGAGTCCAAGTTCGTGCCTGATCCGATGACCCGATTCGACGGAAACCTGGACAGTTTCCAGGCCACGTAGGTTAAAATATCTACCGGATTAGAGACAATCATGAGAATCGTGTCCGGAGAGTATTTCGCCAGGGGTGGTACAATGCTGGTAAACAGAGCCACATTCCTCTGCAAGAGGTTGAGCCTAGACTCGCCCGGGAGCTGACGGGCACCGGCAGTGATGATACAGAGATCAGAACCCACCGTCACGGAGTAATCAACGGATGCGATGATTTTCGTGCGGGGGAGGAATGCGGCGGCGTGTTGGAGATCGAGCATTTCGCCCCGTAGCTTATCGGCTTTTGCGTCGACGAGGGCTATCTCGTCAGCCAAGTCTTGGGTGAGGATGGTCTGGGCTATGGCCATCCCGACATTCCCAACGCCAATGACGGAGATCTTGGTATGGCGCTTGGTGGGGGACGGCGGAGCGGTGTTTAGGATGGGCTTGAAGAAGGTTTGGGTGAGATCTAGACCTCCCGGACCCAAATATGAAGAAGATGAACTCTTCTGCATTGTGATCGGAACTGATGGAAGCTAAACAGGGTTTATTTGATTTGGGGATGGCAGTTGGTTGTTGCCTAGGGTTTAATAGGCAGAAACAAAGGAAAGGAAATTGAGTGGCGAACAAGAAGGGATAGTCAAAGTCAATAAAGTTCCAGAAGGACATAGCGATGGCTTCCAGCACAAGTCCTGCATCGTCGCAAGTACCACGCGCAATCCCGTTCGAAAATTTCCACACCGTTGTACGCATAGAATAGTCTAAGGGTGTGTTTGGTTTGCATTCTTCTCGAAGAGAAAAGTCCATGGAAGCTGTATAACAAAATAAGTTGGTTTAACTGTACCAAAAAAAAAAATTTCGTTTGACTCAACAAATTAAGTTTTTTGACTTTTTTCCCATAAAAATCAAGATGTATCATCATTGATTATAAAGAATAAATAAGTAATTATATATGATATAATTGTTTATTTCTCATTTGTTGTATTTTTCATTTGAAAAAAAAAAAAAAGGAAGTAAAGAATTTTTTAAGTGTTATAATTTAATTCATCAAAAATCCCCTCATCCTCTCATTTCAAACCAAATATACTATTATAATCAATTATTTCACTTTCCTCACACTTGCTAGGCAAAAGTTTCAAAAAAAGGGGTTTCAAAAAAAGTTGTATATAATCCATTATCAAACTATTATAATAAATATAAATGTTAGAAAAGTTTTTATTTTATAAAGTTTAATACAATTTAATTTTAAATTAATTAAAATTTAATATGATTATCAAATAATAAAGAGTTAATAAAATAAAAACCCGTCTTATTATAATTGTGCTAAAGACATATTGATCAATTACTATATCAATTAGGGTCATATTAAATAGTTAAAGAAAATCTGTAAAAAAAATAAAAATAAAAAAAAAAGAAAGAAGCCCACCGCTGATCTGATCTCCGGCCTCCTCGGTAGTATTGCACGCGCGTCAAGTGCAAATGGGGTTGGCATGCTTCTTGTTCTCCAAGTTCATGGTCGGTAAGAGAATTAAAAGCATTAAATTAGAATATTACCTTCCTTTTTGTCAAAAGACTCAAAATTATGCGCTCACGCCACGCGAGAGTGAACAAAGTGTTGGTCAATTTTGGCCCGATTTGACAGAAGGCAGTTGATTTGAAGATCAAAGGTGATTTCTTCATTATAATAAACAAGTTAAGTGGGAGTTATACGGAGTGAAGATGTACCAGATTGGAATTAGCATCGAGTCTAGTCACGTGGGAATACTTTTTCTCATGCGCACCCCACATCCGTACTATGAAAAAGAGAAACAGAGGTTCCTGTTTTGCTTCTGATTCGGGGGCACCAACTCTCAATATAAAACCATGGGCGGCCAATCCGTCGGTAAAATTTGCCTAGTTTCCATTTTTGGTTTCTTGGCATAGAAACTACCCAGGTGAATAGAATGGTTGATTAGGTAGCCAAATCCACCTGTCCATGCCCGCTTGTAGGGGACAACGTACTAAGCTGCGTAAGTTAACTCCAACCTCTTTCTTCTTCACCCCGATTAATCTGGATCCGACCCACATTGCGTACCTGAAAATAATGAGTGAGTCTCCCAGCGAGAACTGTTGCGTTCACAAGATCTCGAACTCGAGATCTTATTTAAGTTGAAACAAGCCGTTTACCACTTGATCCAACCCCTCATTGATTTCTTCTTCTCCTTTTGAACAGGCCAATTGAGGAAATGAGGAATGCGATTTCGTGGAGATTAAAATCACAACTTATAAGAGATAATCCTATTAAATTAAAGGCTTTGACTACTAAATCAACACATGAAACCCTCCAACCTTCTTATTAAGTTGAAAGAAAATAAGAAAAAAATAGAGTAAAATGTTTACCTTTTATAAATAGATAACTAATCAAGAATTATCTTACAATAAAAAAAATAAAAATATAAGAAAAAAAAATAAAGAAGAACTCTTCCTTTCTTCTTCCCGTTCCCTCTTTTCTTTTTCTATTTAATTTTAATTAACCAAATAAAAATTTTTGTTTCATTTTCTTCTTTAATACCAAATAAGTTATGAAAATTAATTTTATTGAAAAGTAAATTTTAAAAATATTGGTTTAAGTTTTAATACTAGTAATACTTGAAAAAGTTTATTTATCTAAACGTATTAAATTAAGGTGAGAGATGAATTTTTAAAATTATTTAAAAAGTAATTAATATGAGATTTTAAAAAATTTTATTTGAAGATACTCTTCCAATAAATACCCCAAAAACACACACACACAAATCCTACCGTAAATACCTTTAAAAAAAAAAAAAAAGAAGTAAAAAAGCGTGATCTTCACAATGATGCTTCGCTTAGGAGATGTCTAGATTATCGCGCTTCCTGATGACTAAGAATGGCCTAAAACTCAACCCAACCTGGATCGTGATCGGTCAGATCCATATACTGGCATCTTCTCTTCTGAACAAAGCTGCTTGGCCAGCGCACATTTCCTTTACATTCCTAAAAGTTGGGTTAGCCTTTCAGCAGTTCCCAAGTGACGCCGATTACTACAGTCACAAAAACTTTCTGCGAGAAAAAGAACCGGCGAGAAGCAAAATGGAGGCGGCTTTAATTAGCACAGTTAGGGCGACGCCGGACTGGAATCCTCGAACGAATATCTAAACTGGAGCGCACTCTCCTGCCGGACACTCCTACAACCACCGCATGCAGTCCAATCCGTCATCACAAACTCTGCCGCCCTCTGCGACACCGAAGCTCGCCTCTCATACATTTGCCCGTCCAATGGTGTAAACAACTTTTCCTTCAAGAAAGTTCCATTCGGACTTTCTACGATTGGCCTCCCGGGTCCCGACGACACGTACTCGGTGCCACCTCCGTTCATCATTTTTGCGAAAGCATCGTATTAGTTCATCGTTTAATTTGTTTACTTAACTTGATTTCGTTGTATGGTAGCTTTCAAGTGGATTTTTCTCTTGAATGAATACGTTTTTCTCTAATTTGAATAGGTTAATACTCAAGCCTCAAGCTAGCCCCACCGAACGTTGTGTGGACTTTAATTACAATGGCAAGAGTACGTAATTGTTTGGTGAGATTGTTGCTTCATTAAAAAGTTTTTATTAAGAAATTAGATTAAAATAATATTGTAAGGAAAGTTATGAAATTTTATAATAAAATTTTATTATATTTAGTAAGAGATTAATATAAGAAAGGTTATTAGATGGATTTAATATAGAAAAAGTTGTAAAAAAAATTTTTTTTTTCTTCAAATGAATAAAAAAATAAAATTTATAAGTTGAGAATTATATAAAAAATAAATACTTAAAAAGTAAAAAGTTAAGAATTAAGTAAAAAAAATAAATACTTTAAATATAAAAATATATAAATAATTTTACAAAGAAGAAGGTTTATCAACCGAACACCCAAATTAAGTTCTTAATCGCTAATCCGTGATATCCTATCCATAAATATTTTATTCGAAGTAACTGAACTAGATGCGCTTGAAGAATTGGAATCAGTTTCATTGGCGCATCATTTTTTACATTTTCAAGATGAATTTAAGTTATTTGTTTCTGAAGATCGTTGCATTACCTAGTTCCTTCCTCTTTTGCAGTTTCCCATTTGATTAGACACCCAACTGGTTCTGTATCTCAAGAAGGGTTTTAGCAGAGTCCCTAAGCTGCTGTGCCTCTTCATCTGTGAGATGAATGTTGGGGACGCCCAAGACTCCACTCCTACCAAGCTGTGCAGGCAAACTGAGGAACACATCACCTCCATCAATGCCGTGGAGGCCCTTAGCAAAGACTGAAACGGCGTGGATTTTCCTTTGGTCTCTGAGAATGGATCTTGCCAAATTGGCTACAGAGTATCCAATTGCCCAAGAAGTGTAGCCCTTAAGACTGATCACTTCGTATGCGCTGTTTGCAACAGCTTTGTGAATGTTCTCTAAGGTCTCCTTCTCGTAGCTGATTTGCTCCTTCTCCAGGAAGCTCAATACCGGCACCCCACCCACGCTTATACTAGACCATAACGCTACTGAACTGTCACCGTGTTCACCAACAATAAAAGCCTGAAAATAATTACCACCATCACATTAAGAAACAGGACTTATATAAAAAACAATGTTATATATCTGATGTGGTGCAATGATAATCACCTGCACATCTTGAGCGTTGACGTCCAGGTGATCGGCAATCAGGAACCGAAACCTTGATGAGTCCAAGTTCGTGCCTGATCCGATGACTCGATTCGACGGAAACTTGGATAGTTTCCACGCCACGTAGGTTAAAATGTCCACCGGATTAGAGACAATCAGGAGAATCGTGTTCGGCGAGTATTTTGCCAAGGGAGGTATGATGCTGGTGAACAGATCGACATTCCTCTGCAAGAGGTTGAGCCTAGACTCGCCCGGGAGCTGACGGGCTCCGGCAGTGACGATACAGAGATCAGAACCCACCGTCACAGAGTAATCAACGGATGCGTGGATTTTGGTGCGAGGGAGGAATGCAGCGGCGTGCTGGAGATCTAGCATTTCGCCGCGTAGCTTATCGGCTTTGGCGTCGACGAGGGCTATCTCGTCAGCCAAGTCTTGCGTGAGGATGGTCTGGGCTATGGCCATACCGACATTCCCAACGCCAATGACGGAGATCTTGGTATGGCGCTTGGTGGGGGACGGTGGAGCGGTGTTTTGGATGGGCTTGAAGAAGGTTTGGGTGAGATCGAGACCTCCCGGACCCAAAGATGAAGCCGATGAACTCTTCTGCATGGGGATCGAAGCTGAAGGAAGTTAAGATGGTTTATTTGATTTGGGGATGGCTGTTGCCTTGCCTGGGATTTTATAGGCCGGAACAGGACACGGTATATGGAAAATGGAATATGCTTGGGAGAGAAGAAAAATCATGTCAAATATCAGATTTAGTCTTACTAGTAATTTTGAAGCCACAGAGACCCTTGTAATTATTTATTTTCCTAAATTACTAAAAAAATATCCTAGTTAAAATTTTGAAGTCACAGAGACCCTTAAACCTTAAAAAAAAAAAAAAAACCACTAAATCATTCTTATTTTCAAAACCAAATATATACTTTCTTTGTTATAAAATAATAATTTTTTTACTTGTATTTTGAGCTTAAAGATTTAAAAATAATTTTTATTTTTATCTATTTTATCTTAAAAAATAAAAATAAAAATAAAGAAACTTTTTATAATAAAATAGGTAATTATAATTAAGAGATTATCGTAAAGTTAAAATAAAAAATATATATTTAACTTGATTAAAAAATTAGTTTAAAATTTAAAAAAAAAATCTATTATTGTAAAATGAAATGAGTATTTTTTTCTTTTACATCAGTGAACCTAAAATTTTTTTTATTTTGAAAATTCTCGCGCTTTGATTTAGTGGCTTAAATCTTAGGTTAGTGGGATCACTTTTCGTAGATGGTATGTTCAAAACTACATAGATTCCCTTTTCTCATTCCTTAAAATATGCACTAATTTTCTTTCATCCTTTTTTTTTTTTTTAAATTTTGAAAAACTCCATATTTTTTTCATTCTACTTA